TACAGTCACTTTTTAATTCTTGCATAAAACCTGCGTCGAACTGCGTGCCCAATCCGGCCAGCAAAGTCCTATTTTGTCTCACATGATATCCAACATGTGAGTCAATGTATGAAATATCTGTCTTGGAGCGGCTACTTTAAAGTATTATTCATCTGAATGCACGCGGTCAGAGGTTAACTTGGGTCGTGTCGAATCCGTGAAGGAAGGAGTGGTTATCGCATTGCCTAAGTAAACATTGACTGGAGCCATGCAGATGCTTACAATAAAGCAATGGCCTACTTGAATGCCTCAAAAGATGATTATTGAGATTGTCGATTTTTTTTCAGTTGTGTTAAGTGGTTGCACATGGAATTGCTGTTTGGTTGAAGTTTATTAGCCGCAAACCCTTTACTAGCCCTTTCGCTGTAATGTGGACTTTCTTAACATAACGTTTATTTATTTATCTTTCCAGGATTTCATGTTTTTCGAACGCAGCAGCTCTTCGCGCTAAGAAAGAGGGAATCTCACAGCGTCATTAAACGCTGCGACTTGTGATATTATCTCTTTTCTGCAGCTAATTTGTCATAAAATAATAAATGTTTGCACCTTTATCTGACTCTCCACAATGACTTAGTCGAAACTGTCTAGCCAGCAGACTCCCTCATAATCCGCTGTGCCGTTGTACATTAGCCGCTGTTAAGTCTGTTGTGTAGCACAATTATCATCAGAAATAGTGTCAGTGAATAAATCCCAGTTAGTGGGAGTTAGAGCTTGGAGATTTTAATACTCGTGTCACTATGCGGATCGCCAGCATGTGCTTAAATTGGTGAATAAGCCATGAGAAAAAGCAATGTGCTGTCTACATGGAATCAAACGACACATTTTATAGCAGACAGGTGTATCGAATCTACGTGTAATGCAAGTGAGTAGAAAATCTAGCCTGGTACGTTCTGAATGGCAGTACTCGTCTATTTACTCTACTAGGTGCTACTTCCAGTTTACTACAGATGCCCTTGTCCTTTATCACTGACTTACTCTCCCGATAGAATGCACATTTCAAGTTATTTATCAATTTGCACAATAGCAAAACACTTAAACTGAACGCTGAATTAACTTTGGCCGCTGTGGGCATAACGAGTTTTCGCGCGGCCTTCCCTACACCGTTATGTTCCCGAAAATCTAACAGCGTTTCAAACCTGAACCACGTTTTAAGCATGCGGTGCAGTAACGGGTTCTTTTAATGAGCACCTACCTTGTTGTATTTAATCGGTTTGTGCTTTCAAATTCTTTTCTATCTCAACTTGTGTAAGACCATTTACCCTGTTACAGGCCAATCTAACATTACTGTTTGTTTGCATAAAATTCTCAACTATTCGTTTATACATTTTGGAGCATTGCCTTTGAGTATGGGATCATGTTTTTGATCGTACATATGAGGGATGTGATTTATTCTTTCAGCTTTTAATGTCAAAACTTTCGTGCCTCCTGATTCAGAGAATCCTTGGTAAACATGACAGAAGAACATGGCAACGGATCCAACGTTGAACAATTCTCAGCACTGAACGAAAGCCCTAACTGATTTGACATTAAATGATTGTTAGTAGCTAGATCCACCGTAGATTTTGTGTTAATCACCCCTGATGGTGATTCATAACGATTTTACCCGGCTTCTTCACTGACGACGACGAATAGGAGTTACCACATAATTGCCTGTCCACCACGCATACACGCAGCTTTATGACAACCTCCACATGCACTAAGCCGACACCACTTCCTTAATGGTCTGAAGCATGAAATACGGAAGGAATAGTGTCGAAAATTAAACTTCTTTGCATCGCTCTAATTGCTATTACTGACTAGACTCTCAGGCATGCGTTTACGTAAGTTTTTTTGCAAGTGGGACCGGCTACGAATGTGCAGCACACAGCGAAGATGTGATTACCAAAAACATAATTTGAGCTCAAATACTCTATAATAATATACTACTTAATATCGAAAACCAAAGTGTGTGTGTGTGTGTGTGGAATAATGCGATGATAAGATGCACCTTCATGCTAGATTAGTTGGTGGACTAAACTACAGAGAATCAAGTTAGAAGATCGAGGTAAGCGGTCTAGCGAAGCAAAACCTTTACTGACAACGGTTTTAGAAGACGTTGATGCTAATCGGAACTCGTATTACGACGACATGGTGGTTGGAGGAAGCTAAAGCAGGGAATCTGCAATTATCTCGTCTGGAATGAAAATATGGAAATTTTCATCTCCACACGCAGTAAATCAGGCGTATTCATTCGAAGTAGCTGACACTTGGTTCATGCGAAACCGAAAAAAATAATTGCATAATTGTTCGTTGAATGCACACACAAGGACATTCTCTGTATTATTCTGGCGGAAAGGTTTCTATTCGCTGATGGTTTGGCAGTAACGAGGCTGTCAGTTTGGTGTAGAGTGCAGGTCGGAGGATGCTGATTTTGACATTTTGATGTGCCGAAGGCGATCTTGATACACTCCAGGCTGAGCTAGGTGATAATTAGAGGTTTACCATTTTGTTGAGGCCTTGGTGTCTCCATTCAAACCGGGGCCGCCAGACTGTATTCTCCCGGTTACACTAAACAGATATCCGGGAAACTTAAAGTGACCAGAGGTGACGAATACACAACCATATTGTTTATTTTTATAGTGTTTTGATTTACACAAAGTCGAGTGAACTTAAATGTCGCAGACGTGCGCGTGATTGATGTATGTAAAGTGGGTCCCCAACCAACAGAATTTGGAAAACCAGCAAATGGACGAGCACCACAAATAATAAGAGCCATGTGCACAGAAATGCGTGATCAGACGTCGTAGGATGAGGCGAGAGGAGAGGACCTGGTGTTCCTGAGAGTTAATGAACGGCCATCATCTCAATGCACTGCTGATACTGACGAATACAATGGATTTACATTCAAGTGCGGATCGCTAACACTTTAGTTAGCTGGGAATCCATAGTTCTTGGAGTATTTTAAATCACATCCAGATTGATGTTGGGGATGGAGATCCGAAGAAAGGCAAACAGTTATATCTGCAATTCCATAATTAATAGTCAATTTTACCCAAATTTTTGCTGGTTTCGTACTGTGGTCCAGTCAAACTAATTTTTTTTCTTACTGAAGGCAGACTATTAACACCATTTCAGTTTTGAAGACCCATGCTTTTAGTACAAATTCATGGTTTTTTGTAAATTGATTTCATTTTTGCGAATGGTTATCTTATATACTCTGTTCCCCAGCACTTTACTTAACTTGCCTCTTGAAGCAAGCAACAAGATAATTTACAAATTATCGCATCTTTCCCTTTTACCTTATCACTCTGCCATCGCCCACTTCGCTGTCTTAGTTTTCAAAGTGTAAGTGGGCGTTTCCTATCATTGTTCACGCGTTGTTGTTTTGGTGTCGCCTAGCCTCACGCCGTGCTAATCGACATTTATAGTCGCCTTGTTTACGTGTGTCTTAGCGCCTTGGTAGTTCGCCTGGTCTACAGAAACGTGTCTCAGCGTCCCATTGCTTGCAGACAGGTTCAAGGGTGCAGGCGTGTCCGTCTGTGGCACAAAAATAACCACGGCACAAATCGTTTCTGCCGCCTCCAATCATATTCACGTTGGCTACCTGCTCAACGCAATCGGGTCTTTGTTGCCGTGTGAACAAATGTATCACCTCAGATACGACTATATTGGGAAGTTACTTAGCAGTTATATATCTTTTGGGGCTTCAGCATCCCCAGGACTACACTTCTTAAGCTTTTGACAATTTTCTAATTTTGATTATCATTCAAGTTTTGTGCACGCCAACATTTGTAATCAAATCGCGCTTCTCTTTACCCACTGACATCCTGCCTAGGAGCGTGCTTTTACTCCCACTTGCACTCAAGGCCGCCTACGCCAAACAGAAGACAGCAAAGGCTCTGTGCACGAGGTCGTCTTGCATTGGCGCTGGGAGGCGCCGCGACTCATACGTGTTCAGTCTGAGTGCTAGTCTGGGAGGCTTATCACGTGATAACATAGGGGCTTCGATTTTTGTGATCGGAGTTTGGCATCTGTGTGCCGGGTACCGCAACAATTTGGCAAAGCAGGTGAGATGAGTGATAAAGTGATGGAATAAATTACTCGAGCGGCTGGTGCCGATGCTGGTTCTCAGGCCGTTAATTGACGGCCCCACCAACAGTATCGCGGGCTTCGTCTATGATCCAGAAAATGGGGTAACGTTCGAATCCCGATATCGGCGTTGTGAGGACTTGTTCTGGGTCGACATCCAGTCACAGGACTACAGGTGGAAGGTCAAGCTCCTTATCCGCAAACCGGGTCCAGCAGAATAGTAGGGTTACCGTACTCGACCTCACATAGGACGAGAGAACGCACAAAATCTCGAACGGATATTTGTTGAGCGCTCCTCTTTGTTCGGAACCCGTATAGGTCTCTTAAGCTCTTAATAGGAGAGTTTGACGGCTTCCCAGACCACTTAGCAGTGGTCAATCAAGAATGCGAGAGAAGTCATTTCAAATCAATGATAGTTGGCCAAAGCAAATCTATCCTTTTCATTTGCAGCCTATAATTTCCAAACTACGCAGATCCCCGAAAAAGGCTGCTACATTTTATCGAGCAGAAGCCCCATCATCTGCCCCCCTTGACTTGTAGTGATTCGTGTTAATTCTATCCGTCCGGTCTGCCTCCGTGATTTCCGATTCACTGTCCCCTATTCACAGCGAGCCCGTCAGTCAGGGTGGACCATCTACTTGCACATCCCCGCGCCACAACAACCCCTCACTGCCCGTTTCACTTATCTGGCCTTTCTGACGTTTGTGTTTTTACTAGTTCACCCGGACTGCATAAGTCGGATGCTACTTTTTATTCACAGCAGCCTAAACTCACAATTAGGTTGTGCTTTCTAGCGAACAGTCGTTTCTGTCACCTTTTGTCTTCTAAGTCTCCTCGAGTGTCAGTGTGGCGTTTTTGGGCCAGTACAAAGAGGCGGACCCGATGTGGTTCGAGACCACTTACCAGGGCCTTAAACAAACTCAAAGATTGTTTAATTTAATCCCTTCATCACGTACGGAGCCAGTTAAATTGTTTGTTGCTAATGACAAAAACGTGAAGCTAATTTACTGCGCGGCACTTGGATTGCTTAATGGGGGATTAGCAAATACACCGTTAGTGTTTTACTATATTTACGTTTTTCAAGTTGAATATTGAAACGAGCATACCTTTCACGAGCATGAACATAAATTTCGCGTGAACTACCATCGTTTGCTTTCTAATAGGTTCCTTACTATTCAAACTTAGATTGTATCTTGTTTCCACACAGAATGCCTACTGAATAGGTGTCTAATCAGGAAATAATGAGGGTTAATGGATTCAAAGCATCCTAATTCATTGTGAATTTCACCTTCATGAATGAGCGTATTCCTTGTAAAAGTAAGTACATTAGGCGAAATTGATCGTGCTAGGTTATAAAAGTGGCCAATGATTGTAGAAAATGTCTGAATTCCTGATAGGTAAACTGCAACTCTAGTTTTTTTCAAGGAAGTGCCTGAAGCCTTAGGGTTTTTTAGATTTAATGCTTCGGATGGACCTAAGCATACAAAATTACAAGTCCACAACGCTACTCATGAATGCAAGTTATTGACATTGATCAGCTTAAATCACACAATGAAATCATTTTAGGTGAGCAAAATGTAGAATGATACGTCTTTTGTAAGTTAAGCACTGAACTGGCGTGGCACAGCTTCTTGGCTTCGTATGAGTGCAGGATATCGTGATTAACTCACACACCACTCCGGCCTTGCACGCATGTTGAGGAATTATTAACTTCCTGCAAAAAAGAGAATTTCGTAAATAAATTTGCCAGGACCGAGCGTGAGAAGAACTTCGACTATCTCTGGTTTATTATTTTCACCACACCAATACCCGTTCTACATGGCCCGTAAATACAATACAATATGATAAATACATGTGCGTAGTGTAAAAGGGTAGACATCAGTTCATGCTCTTCTTATTATCCCCCAATCAGCGCCCAGGTCTCTTACGTCCGCTTCCTTTTTGTGCATCTTGATTTGCCGTTGATGGGTGTTGCGCAGACCCGAACTGCCCACCGCCCATGCTGTCCATGTTCCCTATTGGCAGGCGGGCTGAGAAGGGTCCGAAGCCTCCCATCGCACTACCTCCTGCCATCATGCCGTATCGGTTGAGGAAAGGATTCCAGTTGACCAGATTCTGCTCTTCCGCCTCCTTCGCAGCCCTCTCCGCAGCCTCCCGAGCCAGCGCCTCCTCCATTTCGCGCTTCCTCTTCCGTGTGCGTGTTAAGAAGAGGATCATGGCCTTATCCTTGTTGTTCAAACAGAAACCGAGCACCGTGCCGAAGATGAGGAGGAGCACCAGTGCTAGGAGGGCCATGTTCAAGAGTGTCGTGACGTATTTGGGCGCAGGAAGTCGATTGCGCTCTTGTTTTGTTACCTGAACCACGGGTTTCTGGTATGTACACTGTGGACAGGTGCAGTTCCTTTCGATGTCCTCTTTTAGCACAGCTGTATCATTCACTGGCATATCCTGCGAAATAGAAACAAATATGAGTATATATTTGTGTATGATTACCGGACTAAGCTCCTGAGTAAAGTCTGCTCCATAAACATTTCTTTACAGGCGTTTAAAACCGATTATTTCTCACTGGCAAAATCATGGTACGTGGGCAACGTTAGTTATGACATGAGGTCACTGATGAATGAATTTCAGCTTTTTTGAATTAAAACATTTCCAATAACAACGGACGGTTTAATTTTTTAATGGTATGTTTTTGTACTGAATAATCATCTACTCACTGCAGCCGAATATCGACAGTCTTTGTCGCTAAATGTCCGTCCGTATCCTGTTGGCATCAGGTCTGGGCAGTCCTCAACCTCTTCACTGCTTTGGTATCCAGTTTCTGCTGTGTTGGGAGGTTGTTTTGGCGGCAGGACGCTGCGCTTCAGTCCCCTGTGTCGATATACTGTCTGGGTAAGAACTTTTCCATCAAATCGCTGTAAGTCATGTGAATCGATTTCATTATTTGTCAACGCAGAAGAGTCAATGCAAACTTGCTCAGTTGCCTAAAATTAAAAGAAACCATGGATAATGGACTCGGAATACTAAAGGATTAGTTTGCTCGACACGTATGCATGTCACTGGTCGGTAGTTGAGGTACTCCTACATAAAATGTGGCGCTGAGGTTCACAGTCCTGCGTGAGACAACCACAAGCAGTCCATAATTAAACCATTGTGAGGTCACACTTAAGGCACATTTACTCCTCCCCCGAGATTAAAAGCTCATCTCCACGTCGAGTAATGCAACATAGATCTGTGAAAAAGCACTGCCTTTACCTCCATGATGTCACGATAATAACGGAAGAAGGCAGGTGGGAGTCGTTTCATTGGGAAACCAAGTTCAATGCCCTTCAGTTTTTCCCTCTTTGGAATCCAGCTAAGGAAATTTGGATCAATGCAATCCACCGGAACGACATCTTTTTCCTTGTTAGTGGGTGTGTATATAAAGAGGTAATAGAGGTCCCTCTGGCCTATCTGTACACAATCCAAATAAGTTATTATTTGATCAGGGTATGGCAGGTCCGAAAGTGGAGCACAAGACATCATAACATTGGCCTCTTCATGCGTATCCGGTGACTTCGTTGACGTTGCGTTATCGAATACAGTGAACAGGTCTTCCAGCGACGAAATCTTTGGCGTAGTAGTCAGTGAATGAGTCGGATGGGGTCTGGGGCGCCGTCGTATGGTTGATTCTCTTCTGGAATCCTTTTTCTCCGTCATCTGACGCATAATGAAGCAACTAATTTGCGGACAGAAGCGACAAATCGGCGTGTTGCCAATTGGTCCATAAGGGAGGGAATATTTCCTATCACTGCTGTACTGATTTATGGCTTTCTGGGTTGAGGAGGACTGAACATCTGCAGCCCAGTATCCTCTGGGGCAGATATCTGTCTGTACGGAAGCCAAAAAAGTTATGAAAAGTGTCAACTCCGTTATAATCCTCCCATGTCCCATCTGGAAGGGCAAATGGGCACACTGGACACCAGCACAGGCGCCTTCGCAATGGTGGAAAACATTTGATTGATTCTACGCGTTCAGATTGGAAGGTGTGCTGCTGCCACGATCGTTAAACCCTGCGCGACCTTGAGATTGAGCCAATCAAATCCGTAGCGTTAAATGTGATATCCGCTGTCCTGACGACCATCAGTATATTTAAGAAGGCTTCCTTGTGGCTCTCTGGGTCTAGCGTAAGGCTCATTTTAACTTGACTTTTCAGGTTCTTAATTTGTAAAAATATGCTTTTTTTCTAAAACGTGCGATCACAGAAAAATTAAGCAGATGAGTAATGCTGTGATGTTTTTAAAAAAACGCAATTCCTGAATGATTTTCACAGAGTTGGGAAAAACCCGTTGAAAAGTGTGACCCGCACAGTAGTTGGTCTTAAATTACGGAAACTATTAAGCAGTTGTGACTGTGAATTAAACTTTTATAAACGACTCTGACAAGCAAAACCATTTGCTGGGTAAACACATATGTGTCCTTGTAACATCCGTATATGGTAGACTTGCCTCAACTTTTAAATCATATTGTAAAAAAAACCTTAAATTTTTACTGTTTTTTTCGTAAATTTTTGGTGCCTCCCACAATTAGGAGAATGGTCAAAGATCCATAGAAATTTTGCTTGATCAGTACTTAACAAAATGCTAAAATATTATTATGTTCACTTTAGCTAAGCAAATTTACCAGGAACGCATTTAAGAGGAAAGATTTTCAGGTGCCGTGCACAAGATGTTCTTCAGGCCCAGTGGGTCGCAACCTGCTTATTAGGCTCACAGTGAAACGAAACACTCGAAACCGCAAAAAATTAAAATTGTGTTAAAGCCTGCATACTCACGATGCATAACCTAGCACTTTATTGCGCTATTTCTCAAGACAACCATCAAAGTGTAGTTTGCGCTTCTAAATTCAAATGTAAATTAGATGCATTAATGAAAAGAATTTGATAATTTTAACCACCCTCTTACATGGCATCCAATCCTAAAGGCAGACGTACGCTTCACGCTAGTAGATCATGCCACAAGTTACTGTCAATGGTTTCTTGTTCAAGGGTAACCGCTGGTAATTTAGTAGGCACGACTAACTGCGCTACGAAAATCGAGTAAAGTACATTTACTCTACGTGCTAAAAATAGGTTGACTGCCCAAATCTGACCAGTGACGTAATTTCGCGTGGACGCCTAAGGTAACTGAACCCACTCCTCGATAGTGGTTTGTAATTCTAGCCGGAGGAACTGATTCTTCCAATTTTGCCAGATTGTTTGAGAAGAGTGTTCAATGACATCAAGTCGGGGGTCATCGTTCGTGTAACGCTTTGCAAGGCAACTTTTCGACACTTGTTGTTAGCTGACACGCCTTGAACCCGAGAACAAGGGCTACCCGTTCCTGCTAATGTGTGTCAATTTTCTTACAAATGTACCCTAAGACAAAGAAATGAATTATTTATGCTGGGAAATTTAAGTAAATATCAAAGAGACAGACCTAAAATGGTAGTTTTGGCCAATGAAGAACATCTGACAACTTTCTGAAGAACGCCTCAAACAAGGATGGTGGCTTCTAAGGCGATTTTACTAATCTCTATCTTTAAGTTTAAAAACATTGTCAGCTTAAAGGCTTCATCTGGCATTAGAAGCATGCCCAGGAACCCTGGGTGTGAAAAATAGTAGGCATGGCATGTCACAAAATATTAATTAGCTGCCGATAATCAGGCTAAGGCATGGCACAATGTGCTTTCCCAGCAGGATGAACATCCAGGTTTTAGTTGCTGCGCTTAAACGTGCACAGTAGGCAGTGAAAATCCTGTGATCTAACTGTATTGTGTAGCCGATTTTAATTCCGGTGATTACATACAAAAGTCGAGGGCGCATACCTGGCCACTGTAGTAAATTCTTGTTGCTGCCACTTTTCTCTTTAAAAGGTATGTTTGCATATTAGATAGCAGATCTCCCCGTGGCGCATTTCTCTTCCATGAATTTACCAAAATTTATCTAGGCTGTGCCATTTCGGGGACAAAATAAACAAGCCAACGTATTTAAAAAACATTATTAATAAACCAAATGGTTGCTTAAAACAGAAATATCTTGTTATAGACAATCTGACTTACCCGTTCCAATGGATTTAGCACACCCCCCGTGATCGACTTTATAGGGAATTTCTCTTTAACCAGCTACCATCATTTTATTATTGCAAACGGAAAATGCCAATTTGGGTTCTTATTTCATTCCCGATATGCATTCGTCTTCAGTGAAAAATAATACCTTTGACATCTTTACCTGACTTCGAACTGAGGGCAACATCTGTAAAATGGCATCTGATTCAGTAACGGAACAGTGTGAAGGCCTGCTACTTTAGAATGAGCAAAATGAATACAAAAACTTGCGGGTTTTTTAAATTATGCAGACGTAAGATCCTCGAATTTAAACTCTATGTACAGCAACTCCTAATTTACAGTTAGACATACGTACAATGTTCGTTCAAATTTTAAAGCTCTTAGTTTTCAAATGCTTCAATAATTCCCAAAATAGTTTGCATGAAATCAGAATGGAAAAAAACACCACTTGTGTTTGTACTGTCAGTTTGCACAACAATTTGTTTCATGATTTCTTCTTGCTTCCGCAGTTTTGTTATTTTAAATAACCGCGTCGATTTATCTCGAGTGTTTGTTTTGAGATTGTAAGTGATATCGCAAATTGACGCTACAGCTCTCCCAGTTTTTATCCGAAGACTGCCTTGAATTGCGTATGTTGCTAACTGCGTCCAAGACGAGGTCAGTAACATGGATTTCCTGATCTTATTAGTACTCGATGTGCCCAGTGATTAGAACAAAAAACCAATTGTTGGCCTAAATGAATGTAATTAGCGTCGCTAGCTGGTTTTTAGGATTTGATATTTGAGTGCTTTGACCAGTTAAATGTACCTGTTAATGTGTCTCCGTTTATGTTGCTCCTGCCTGAATCCTGCTTGTCTGTACGATTTGAAACTAACATAGCTATCCTGGATGAAGAATTCGTTTCCCCGACAGTTAATAGATAATTAGACAAAGTTTTAGAATATTAAAAATATATTTCGCACGCATAATCTTACTTTCATCCCTTATTGAGGTTTACTTTAGCATATTTGCCGAAAATTGCATAACTGTCAGGCACGCGTCGTGGCTACAAACAGTGGTAGGGTAAATAGACACTGCTTTACTGAATCTCTCCTTGTAAAGTAAACAGAAACAGGAGGATGCGCGGTATATTGAAGACTTTAAACCATCGCGATACTATAATCTTCCGGATAGGACTCGAGGCTTTCAACGTCTTCCGGATCCTTTTGCATCCGATTGCAGATCGCCTCTACAGTTGCGGGTAGATACATCATGGACAAAGCTCCACTTCCAGATCTGCATCGGTCTCTGAAATGGGCAACAGTTTATGAGTGAGATAGATCCACTGCAACTGCAGCGTACTGTTAGTGACAGTAGTTTGGCATCTACCCCTTTAACGGACTTATCTAAAAATCATTAGTGTGCGTATTCCCCAAACTTCAGTGGATTCCACAATAATTAAATGCCCGTGTCCGCTTTCGCCAATTCCCCCTTCAATGCCAAATACTACGTCTGATAAATTAGCGTAACTCAATAGTAAAAAAACATCTAGGTTTTAATTTTGACTAGACATTTTATTTGTTCGATTAAATTCTGTGTGAAGAGGTTCAGACAAATAAAACACTGCCAACTTACAACAGCCATTCCATTGCAAACAGCAAACCGGCTCCTTCGCTGGGAACACCTATCGATGATAATATGGTTACGACGAGAACAATGCTGGCACTTGGGATATTTGGCACTGCCAATGACGATGTGAACGTTAAAAACCTGCAAAAATGCAGTAAAGTTTGCTGAGAACTAGGTTGCTTATCAATTATCGTAATCTTAATGATTAAATGTGCTGTTTACCTACAAAAATTACAGGATCAGGTCAACCAACAAAGGTTGTGGACGACTTTATCAGAGTTGGTAGAACCTCTCCTTGTTTTCTACCACCAGGATACTAAAAATTTAGGTTTCAAGCAGACCACTAGGGCCTTATTAGTAGACCGGGTAAACCGCGGATTGGGTGAGGGAGTGTAAAACCAAAATACGGTGCTCTAACCAACCCTAGAGCAATATGGAGCAGATGACAAGAGGAAAATACATTACCCACTAATTAGGGCAATTTTGCAAAAAAAGACTAATAGCTGCACGCAACAAGTCTGTCTAGCTACTTTAAGTGCTTAACTTACAAATTCAGACTTACACCACGCTGATTATTTGCCCAACGTTGAGGTCGATTTTGGCTTGTTGAGCGACAAAAACGACTGAAGAGGTGATGAAAGCAGCTGGACCGTCGCCTTTCAAGGTCGCCGCTAGGGGACCCAACAGCCGCGTAACTCTTTGACTTACGCCAAACTTGTCCAGCCCCAAGTACGTCTCCGGCAAGGCTAAAGCGCTGGCAAAGTAGCAAATAAACATGGATAACAGATGGCAGTTCAGGAGTTTATTTGGGAAAGTGTTGGAGCCGATAGCCGTTACTAACCACAAAAAGCATCTTTTTACCTTAAGCTCATACCTGCGTGTATATTTTTCCTAAATTACAGCATAGGCCAAACCGCACGCAAGAAGCTATGAGGATTAAACATGAAATTTAATAAAATTATTGAGTTCATCATAACTGGCAATAACGTTCCAGATGCTCTCATTATCCATGTGTGTGGCCGAGAATATTTATAGTACAAAGGTCAAACGTTACGTTTTTTTGGAGACCAAACTTAAAATCTAAAAATATGCAAGTGACTATGGCTTTTCGATTCGTAAGTTCGCTTTAGCGTGTGCTTTTACGCACACAAGGCCAGTGGTTTAGCTGCAATTACTACATTAACGTAGCATAATGCTCTATCATAGTTGATTAACCAAGCACACAGACGCAAACGGACATACTGGCTCAGAGCAAATACCTGATCTCATAGGAATGAACTACCATCGTTACTACTCAATACATTAATTGATGAGCTCATTTGTCTTGCCGAAATGTTAGACTCTCAAACCAAAAATGTGACAAGTCCAAACTGTTAAACATGTTGTTTGATAATTGAAAAATGGTTTTGTTTCAAATTTAAAGGAAGCCAAACCACTTCACTTGACTTTCAGTCATTTTAAATTAATTGCTTGCGCATTCATGTCTCAGGTTATTGAGACTTCAAACTAAGACCATCCAAATGATTATGTAGTTCACGAAACAGATGCTAGGGGTTCAAAAGTCAAGATGTTATGGAGGGCAAGTCAGTACTTTTTGGCCGGTCTCTTTAGTATGTCAATTTGCATGGGAACGAGCATTTTCATGATAAAATACGTCACCCTTTCTGCAGGGAAGCAGGAACTGCATTTAATCTAAATGGCAACGTTGAAAACGGTAGACATTTGAACTGACTGTTTGATTGTCATCTTACATTATGCAGTAGATTAATTCTTTAGTGTTAAGCTATATGTTTGGAGGACTTTCTTTTCTCGACTGCTGGGCTGGTCGTCCACTTCAACTGAATCAAGATGGCCGGGGCTTCACAAAAGATTCACCTTTTGACATTAATTACAAGCCTGTCTAAAAACGATGGTTGATAATTTCGCGAATGTATTGCCCACAACGACCAACGTGCTGTTGCAGATTCGATGGAAAACAGGCACTGAAAATACCCCGGTCCTATTTATTTGGCATCTAATGGTCGTACGAATTATGCCACGTTTTCCTGCATGTTCCCTCGAGACTGTGGTGACATTTCCTGTAGCTGCATCTCACAAAACAATAGACTTGAACTTCTGGGGTGACTATTTTGGTCCGTATTTACAAATAAAATCGTCATTCTGGAAATGGAAAATATCCTCCTCCTCCATCATCTTTTTTGCTTTTCCTGAAATGACACCTTTATTGTACTCACAATGAAATTCTTTTGATATGATAATCAGGAAGACAAAACCAAGATATACATATCCCCAATTTTCGTGTAGAATATTCTATTATTGCGCTTGGAGCCTTACGTACCTGCATAAATAAGCCGTAACAAGTCCCCTTCAATCAGATACGCGATTGTGATATATAGTAATGCTCGGCTTCAAACACTGACTGATCGTGAGCAATATACTAACCCCATGGGGCCGCTATGCAGTCAAAATTCTTTCGGGATAAAGGCAGTGACAATAAGCCTTTCATCTAATAATTCTCTTGCAGAGGAAAAAGCCACGGAAAATTACGTAAAAGGGTTTTTTCAAGAATCAACTGCTGGTTAAGTTTGTCACAGCAGAAATTTCCGATGTGTATCTCTAACGCTTATATCAACATCATTTTTAAAACACAATAATTTTTCTGCTGTTGTTTAACGCCAAGCGGGCTGAATTGTGTGGGGCACACGTAAACACATCAGACTACGCGGAAAGGGTAAATACCTATTAACTTGCTCGTTCTCATCTCATGTGTGTGTGTGTAAAAAGCAAATGGCACACAAATAAATAAAGACTTTGGGGATGAAACCATTTGGGAGCACCCACAGACTTCAGTCAGAGTGGCGAAAATCAGATTGGCACGTATGAACACCCACAAGCCCTCAAAACGGCTTTTTGATTGTGGAGTAGACATGGTAATAAATCGGGGCTTTTGTTTAACGTTGAGTATGCTAAATTTGAGAAGGGTAGACAAATGGAAACAACTTTGTGAGGCTTTAATAACCGCGTACTAGCTGTTTACGGGCAATCCCGAACGAATTACTTGTCAATTCCCTCAGCTTTAGAATCCAATTAACCGATTCCTTAGAAGTTTCTAAATACAAGTGATGGTGTTCACTTATTTGGGCTATTTACATGCACTCTCCAAACACATTACTTTGGACAGTCATTAGATCTAATTGGGTGATCATTTTTGTCGATATTAGGGTTAGTTGTGAATAGGAGTGGTTGCAGTTAGATTGTGAAAAAGAACGTTCGAGGTTATCATTGGCCTGAATTTTGAGTTGCAATTGTTGGCTGATCTTGATTTTTAGACGAGATCTACCTGGGTCGCACATCCACTGGAACAGAATTCAACATTAATCCGTCGTTTCACCCTCTGCTAAAGGATTTGGATTGAAATCCATGATGACAAAGGTTTAGTAGCTTTGTACAACTGGAACCTTACGCAGGATGTGTGTGAGGTAAGCCTAGCAAGTCAAAAAAAAACACAAAAAACATCGACTTACGGACTAGTTGTAGCAAAGGCGAGCACAAAGGCATCGCTCGAATATTTGAGCAGTCGCAGAGGGTTCCTTCTGCTCGCGACGAAGTAGACAAATACTATTGCAAAGAAGTGGATGGCCAGAGCGGTGATCACGGTGACAACAAACAGGCCCAACTGAATGAAGTCGGACTCGATGTTCTCCCGGCCAACCACCGAGCTGGTGACCATAAAGCAGACGGCTACAGGGGTCATGCTTGAGTAAAAGAAAATCTTTTAAAGTGGTGACATTGTTTTTTTTTGAAAATTGAGAAAAAAACTTCAAAGGCAAAAGACGGCTTTGGACTGCAGTGCTTATTAACAGTAATAAAGAGTTTAAAATGAGCAAGTGTGCAATGAAACCACAAAGAGGGAACAAATACAGCCGTCTCATACGTAAAATGTGGCTGGTGTTGGTGTTAAAATAGCATTTCGATATTCTCGGAGGTGTTGTTGGTGGCCAATTCAAGAAATTCAGCCGCACAGGCAAAGTAAACCGCCGCTTAGAAAGCTTTACCTTCATTTTAGAACCATTAGTCGGGACTTGCCGAATAAAACAACCGTGTGATCAAAAAGGTTGTGAAATTACAGTATGAATCATCACGTGTTATGCATAAACAGGTAACTGGAAGTTAGGGACTGAACTTGTTTTGACCACTGAGTGATCCAGTCGGTTATGATTTCCCTTTAGACTATGAAAAACAATCAAGCAACAACTAAAGCTAGCATTCAATTTCTTGACAATGTCTGGAAAAGAAACAATTAAACTTCCAACGAGCCAAGGTAACAATTAGGAATGCTTTGACAAGTGCGAAATCCGGTGACAAAACCACCCAATTAAGAATGACCCAGTCACACGAAGCAATTCTGATGCATAGCCATGATGTCGAAGCTGTAATCATTGGAGCTAAACCCATTGGTTGACTGCAGTCGGATTCGAATCTCGGGCGCAAAAGACACAGAGAAATTTTTTACTGATGTTCTCAGGAGAGAGAAAAATCACTTAAAAATTGCACTGAGTTGGACAGTACATATTTAATTATTTCGAGAAGTAAATTCTGTTAAGGAATCAATAAACGCTTGAGTTGAAAAGTACACGAACATTTTAACTAATTCGCTTTGACAGACGGAAAAAAATTTGATGGAATCTGAAAAAAAGTTGGAAACACACTTTAAAAATTACAGACCACCGCCAAGAAACATGCATTGATTCACATATTTCGTTATTTACCAATGCCATTTTGTTGTAATGCCAACTTACAGAAGGAAAACGGACATAATTTTAGTCACAATCACCGATAGGGCCGTAAAGAAGTCAACGAATGGTTTTGAAACATTGCCTGTTGCTTTTGCTGCTGCTCCAAACACAATTGAGCAAAACAGAACACCTAAAAGAAAGAAAAATCGAAAAAGATTGCTACTTCGTGTTTGTGGTAAGTTTTAACAAGCCCAGGACAGGAATCTAGCTCACTGACATGTAAATTCTCTGTTAAGGCAGTTGAGTTTGTTGTGAATCGTGTTTATGCGCCAGCCGGATCCTCAACTCCCCCTCATTCGCACAAATATTTACCTTGGATTATCCACACACCTAGGTCTCGATGTTAGCGCATGTATGACTCACACATCTGAGGTATAAATACACGCGAGCAAACCCCACACACGACGACGACTTCGTCAAGTCCTCGAATAAACGCTTGACTCTCTGTCCTACCGCAGACTTCACCCTTTTTGGACAGTTGGTGGTGTATGGCATCGCAACAAGTTAATGTGTAATTAATTATGCATTTCATAGATTGGGCACCTAACTTTCTCGTGACTATCTTTTAAGCCTTAAAAAACAGACTATAGTTAGCCTAGGAAAGCGTAATCGATAAAATGAAGATTAAGAGAAAACATCGACAATGCGGTTTCAAGTATACTGTAACATTACACAAAGAATTTCAGGATGTTTGGAAATCCGTGAGCAAAAACAGGCCGCAACTGGAGGTTTGCCTTACCCCATGGTGCGGCCACTTTCAGTCGTACCTTATTTTTCAACTTCGAATTTACATTTATTCAAGTTAGCATTTTTATTGGTAGTGCCTTTAAAACGTATTTCTTTTTGGTTTCTACATCGATTTTCATTAATAAATCAGATATAGTCCAATTTATTTCTTCATAAAACACTAAAAATCGCTTTTTACAAACAAAATTTATTCTTCTTTTAAGCTTTAGTCAAGCTGCCTCGTGAGCTCTTCAGGTTAAACAGTAATAATAATAATCCTTATAACTCACCAACCATATTTGTGCCATCCTTATTAGAAACCGAAATTGTTTTGTTAGTGGTCGCATCAAATTCCGTTTGAAACTAAACAGCAAGAGGATTTTAGTTTCGACACTGTAATCAAGTTGCAAGTTATCGCACCATTTTATCAGCCTTCCCAATTTTCTGCACTATCACTTTACAAGCATAAGGCCTCAATCAGATATTACCGATGCCAATCATTAACACTTTCTACAATCTTTTAATCATCCATCATTTTGTCACACAATTTATTCAATCGCTAATCACCTGCGACATTTTCTATGAGTTTTTTTTCTAAAAAAAGTTAAGATTTGACCCATATGAATTGCAGTTAAAGGTAATTTTGTTGTTGAGGATTTCCGCCTTTTGTGTAGTTCTAAGTCTCTAGTCTTGAGTTTTTTTCAGACCTGGCCAAAGTCCCTGTTCGAACATCAAGTGGTTTATTGTTACTTCATACGAATCAGTTTTTTTAAAGAAAATGATGCTTACATGAAACATAGTTACACCCACGATGTTGTCTGGAAAGAGATTGCTGAAACACGAAATAGTGGATGTCATATTACCTCTTGATTAGTCAAAGACCCAGGAAGCAATTATAGTTTAACTGGTCATAGAACTTCGTCTTTTCACAAGACCCTATGATCCCTAGTTTCCACGATTATAAGACTACTTAGTGGGGTGCAAGTAGCAACAACTTTCTTCTGAGGTAAGTCACAAAAGTTAGCAAGACATTTTGGCTACAACAACGATCAAGATTCTTAATATAAATTCAAAATCCAACGCGAAAGTACAAGGTTTGTTTTGACGGGATATCGACGATCACTTACTAAATGACATCTCTGAAAACGTCTGATGCAGTGAGACCTTGGGCGGCCAGGGACGCGGCTGTATTGTTCGTATTGCCAGTGAATACACGGCTCCCTAGAATTAAATAGGGCTTTTATTGCAAAGGTAGGCTCTCTGAAGCCAGGCAGCGTTTGTTACAGGGTGTGTGGTGCATGAGTATTGTGTGCTTGTTCTCCTTAATAGCATTTAATTGCGACTAAATTCGGTTTCAAAACAGATTTCTACATGCGTTTAACAAGTAAAATCAGCATCCAGTGCAATTCATTTGCACTGCTTTCAACAATAGCGGAAAGTACCTTTATTCGTTGTTCATGAGAAACATTCGCTACGGCATACACATTAATTTCAACCTAATATCCAGAAAATAAGGAGTTTTCATTTGTGGAATGTTTTCATGCTTCAGGTTGATGAGGGTGCACTAGGGCCATTAAAGTGATTGGCGTTAAATTGCTGTTTCATTAGGGAGCCAATGTACTAGTTAGACTTGGAAATGCCGGTTTTGTATACACCTCCTTACATTTTAATGGCATTGTTTTTTTTGGTTGACGTCAAATACTTCTCTGGTCTGTGTGGACTTGCAATCACAGAAAATTGCTTTGCTCTTTGTCTCCCAATTTAAAATAACCCCACTTAAATCTTTATTCATCGTTATCGATCCGTACCAGTCCAAAAAACCATCTCCTTATAAATTCTGCAGCTGGACGGATTTTACTTCCACGAAGTACCCAAACTTTTTCAGTTCATTTGCCTCACAACTCTGGGGATAGACATGGTTTAATAATGACTTATCAGGCAACGCAGACAAGCCTACACATGATTGTAGGTTTCATGACATGCAACAAAGTGTTAAGCTCCAAATTTGTGAAATTATCGGTTAAAGTATTAGTACATATTAGACTGGAAGTAGTAGTGAAAGTTTATAGAAAATAAATGTTTTTGATTCTGTGGAGATATTTGATGCAGATCATAGTTCATAACCAAGTTTGCGTGTTTGTCAAATCACAAAAAAAGGCCTTCCTGATTAAAAAAAGTGGTTCATTTCCTGAATGCGCTTACAAATTGACAACGTTTGTATCTGTTCCTTAACAAGCAAATTATTTTATAAGAAAATGATTTGCACTTGTAGCAGACGTACCTGGTTTAATTAATAGCGAACTGACGGTTCCAACGATTGCACAAAATAAGTTGATTAATATGATGTACAAAATCCCAATAATTCCAATTTTTCCGTCTTTTCGGAAGTTTAGCCCCGCAATAGCTAAAAGGAAGATGCATACTTTAGGAAACATTTGGCAGAAGCTTTGTACTTTGCCACACAACTTGCGTGATACATATTTCTGGTTGCAAATTTTATCTCATATTTAGAGGCCCCTGAAGGTGGAGGTCACTGGCTCCTGCAAAAATTCAGCGCGCCTGATCACGCCTAATCTCGATTTAAGGCCCCTTCACTTCAGCAATCACACTTATTCAACACACTAAGAGTAAATGTAAGCAGCGCACAGAGACGTTGTTCTAATTTGCACATCACGCGACTGAATGATAGAAGCTACTTAGAGCACAAATACGTTGACGCACACACCACGCAGAACGGAAACAGCAGTTTCAGTGCGTGTTCTGTTGACTTGTTGGTTAATGATTTGAATCCCATGTGGAGTGAATAATCTGTTGGTTTTGTTCTATAATAGAAAATCTACTTGAATCCTAACTTCTGCCCCTAACTGGATAGATAGCTCTGGTTTTACCCGCCTCAGACATTTTGGTTCTTCTTGCTACTATTTATCAACTTATCGCACTTTTTGGGTAAGTACTGGAGCGAATTGCTTGTGAAAAAATTTGATGTTACATACACGTTTCCTCCCTATAATTTACATTAATTAATCATACTATTTTAGCCCCGGTGCCAAGTATTTATGTGTGTGTTTAAGCTGAACTGTCACTTATTCATAAATGTTATATGTGCGCTTAAGGTTCCAATTGAACGCTAAGCATGACATAATCTATCTATGTCACTTTACCTATGACAAGATTTGAAGCGATCAAAGGCAGGATTGTCAATTGAAGTAACCTGAGGTACACATCTGCTGGCATTGCTAAAAGGAAAAAATTAAATAGTGCATTTAAAACTGCCAAAACACAAGCTTGACAACTTTCGACACAACGGCTTTTATACAGATCCACAATTCATAATGTGTTGTGGTTTTATGTGCCAAGACGTTTTTTGTCCATCGGCAGAGTTAACTTAAAGTCTTCAGCTATTGTTGTTTAAGTAAATAAAAATTGAAATTAACAAGACTTTCGAAACTGGTCATCTGAAAGTAGACGAAACAGCACTCATGGCTCGAAATTAAAATGGCAACCTTGAAATGCATCTGGAAGCCAAAATATCGTGCTGCGTTGGCATTAGAAACGATTCGCCATGATCGCATTTCATTCTTAAATTTGAGGGGTCAAGCCTAGAGAAGGCAAAATGTAAGGAAAAAGCTAGTCAGTTATGTCGGTGCATCACGATTCTTTCCTGTCCGATTCACAGTTCAGTCGATTTGTTTCCTAATATAAATTTGGTTGATGTTGCAGTAGCAAAACAAGCCTTTAAACTGTCCACCGGATGTGCTATCACTCATGAAATTCCGGTCTCACCGACAATTAGTTTTGACCTATTAACTCCACGTCTTCAACCATGGATATAACCAAGGTTGCCTTGTAAAAGTTTAATCGGCAAAAATTACTGCACACTTTTTTGGATCCTTATGATTTTAGACGTCAGGTCGCATTGCGTATGATTTCCGATTAACTATCTCGTGACGAATAAACACCAAGCTTGTTATATTGAGTCTTGCGAACACACGTGGGTTTAAAAGCCTTGTATTAAGAGTGTCAGAGCCATTATTAAAAGGCGGCTTACCGATCCAAGTGATGGCAGTCGGTCCTGGTTGAGTTGCCCTAATAGTAAAAGCCAGACCAAATCCCAGACAGACTCCAGCCACTGTTGAAAGCATAAACCAATTGTCAATGAGGAACTTAAGGCAGGCATTTTTGTCCCTCCGTCGCACCTTTTCCGTCTCCTGCATTGTCTCGTCCTTGACCTCCACGGAGTTTGTGGATCGCATTGGCGACGCTGATGCAGAGTCGCTTGAGCCGACGCTCATAGGAGATGCTCTTGGGTAATGTGCAGCGCGGTGATGGCATCCAGCGCGCTCTATGCAACTCTGGTTCACGCGTTGGCTACCACTGGCTGGAGTGCTAGTGCGTCAGCAGTTACCCACACAACCCACTAAGACAGGCTCATTTTATTGTGTTATGACAAAACATGCACCCTTTGCTAATCATCTGCTCAGTTTAAGCAAAACTATTTTAAATTGAAGATTCAAACTGTTGGGAGCATCTAAAATTACATCATGTTATTCAACATTGTCTATTTTTTAGAAATAAATGTGAGATTCCCAGGCTTGATTAGGTTGATGCGTATGAAACTCTGTTGGAGAAGTCAGATGTTCCCACAGAGGTTCTTTGCATTAAAAAGATTTTTTTCATGTTTATACAATTCGCCGAAGTTGCAACTTCGTTCAATCACCATCACTTGAGTTTCCTACTAAAAGTCGCGTCTGCCTTCATTCATTCTGATCAACTTCAAATGAGGCAAGGCCATATGCGTGAGCACATTTCAACGCAGCTGCGAAGGCTTTTTTGTGATTGTTCTGGAACTGGTATTAGGCAAAATATTTTTTTTAAACTGCAACCGTGAGCATTATTTGCTGACCCAAAAATTTTAACATCTCGCAGCAGTGCACATTATATTTTCTGTCTATTCGATTGTCTTTGTGCATTTATGGCAAATCTTTATAACCTCTAACTCCGAATTTGTGAATATTAACGCCGGGAGCAGTTTGATTTCTCTGTCAACCGTGAAGGCTTGAATGCCTGAGATGTCGAATGTTGAAGGCTTCCATTTAAAGTAGTAGCAGGATTGTCGTTGCATCAGAGTAAGATGGGGAAACTGAAATAGGGGACATGATTTCAGAAAAGAAAAGATCATTCTAGCTTTCTGCAGCGGATTCCGGAGACTTTTGTAAAGAAACGGAAATCGTTTCTCCATTATAGCGTGGGTGAAAAATCATGCATTGGGACTCCATTTTCCTTTGAATTCTAGTCTCATGATTAAATTTAGATTACAGTCAAATCCCAAAGTGCTTGTGGACAAATTAATAAGTATTCAAGGGATAAGTTTCCACAAAATTTTGTATTAAAACTGTTTTGCAAAATTTAAATACTTTTATTTATTTCGACCTTGCACTTACATTAATAAAGTTAACCATTTCATAGTATACATAAGCACATCTGGTATCTCCACAAAAACAAATCTGAAGAAGCAAGTTATTAATACCCTAGTACTGATCCTCCACTACTTCCAAAACGTTACTCGATTTGTTCGTTTTGCTGATTGAGGTGTTGATGCGGTTTTTTGGAGATAAAGCTGACTTTAATTGGGGCAATTCTCTAAACGTTGATTCAGGAAGTGGTCAGAACTGCTAATAAATTGATTTCATAAAAATATTTCGTCACATCGCCTTCAATTATAATTTTGATGGGGATTAACGCAAAGGCACCCTGACAGTCATTTTGACAAATTTTAATAACGGACGAGGTCAAACAAGCTCAGCCTATTTACATCATACTGAAAACTGGTTTCTGTAATAAAAGCGAACATTTGCATTTATGATGGTTCTGTTCTGACGTCCCTCTACCTGAGGCACCCAATTATCCATACGTCAGCATATATCCTAAAATGATAATCGTTTAAAAGCATATTTAACTATCTTTATTCTCATAAGAGGACATTAAGAAATAGACTGTCCAGTCCTCTTGTAGAATAACATGTACGCACACTCAAGGCCCTGAAAAACCCGCTTAAAGCTTTCGCAGCTGACTTCCGTCACAACGTCGTCATTGAAATCAAACCACTTTCCGTAGATGACGGGGGTTTCGCCACCTCGAGTTATCCTTAGCGCACTGCAGGGTACTTGAACGCTGTCAGTTTCTTGTGTCCCCTTTGGAGAGATTCTGTTTCCCACGTGGGTAGTCAGCGACCCTTCCGACGTGTAGGTGGAAGGGGCTTCTATTCTATCTACCCTCTTCTGATGCCTGTTCAGAATGACCGAGTCCTTTGTACTGGCCAAGGGCACTGTGGAGGCATCATTGTCCCCTTCCAAACACACAGAAGGCGAGCTTTTCAGAGACGCCCTTGTTGGAGTCTTCGATGAGCTTCTAGACTCATGCAAGCCCGAAGAAGACAGGATGTGTGGTTTGTGGTACTGTCCAAAGAGTCTCGACTGCCAGGCCTCGGCGAAACCAGAAGAAGACCGAGGCGTGCGTTGCGACTGGGTATTCGAAGGACCCACTGAAGACTGACGTTTGGATACCTTGCTGTCGTCGTTATTTCGGCTAGTAGTAAAGGCTTCTCGAGCCTTGTGTGGGCCACTCGTCCAGTCTGACTTGTCACTCACGTCAATATCGATCGTGCTATCTGAGTGGGTTACTGAAGTTGGTGTTGAGGGCTTTCGACGATACACGTGGGTGCCACCAGCAAGAGACGAGGGCTCGCGTGAACGATTACTCGTCCTTGAGGAGAAAACGAGCTGCGAGTTTGAAGTGGTGTTGCAGTTTGAACGGTAAGTGCTGGCGGAACGCGTCTGTGACTGCTGACATGAGGCAAGACCTCTACGCATGCTGTTAACAAACTGGCTGTAAGTTCTCCACTTTGGCTTGGTTGCTAACAGCTCTGTCCTCAAGTTCCTTGCTGTTAAATTTTCACGTAAATTGCTCCGCCTAAAAAAGGAAAAAAATGATACGGAGAAGCCAGCGTCGGCTAAAAATACAGCATACTGTTTTTCGCAGACTGGAAAAAATTCAGATGCTTTTCAGTAGGCAAATCTGGATGTCTGATGATCTAGAGGAGTGATTGTTTGGTAGTACCAACGATCTGTTAGAACAATGAGTTTTAAGAATTTCCCATATTGGGACATCATTCCTCGTCTGAACGGAATTCACTTGAAATTATTGATTTTTATTGACAAATTGTTAATTCGCCGAATTCATTAAATCATAATACTCGCTTATAATTCGATTGGGTGCTCAATAATAAGCAAACGTTTCAAGTTTATGCGATATTGTAGTTCACATCTCTGATGAGTCGTTCTATACCTTTAAGCTGTATCTTCATCAACTACAATTTTTAACTCACACAAACGTACACTTCAAAATCATCGGCTACTTTAAACTTTACATTTTTTTTTAAAATCAGTAGACACAAGCAAGTATTCCCTTTAACTATTAGAACGACCTTTAATTGATGCTTTTAAATCAGTATGGGTACACGATATCCATTATGAAGAGGGCTCTTTTGTAACCACACCCATTATCATTCAACCGACAAGGAAATCTGGGTCAGTCCCCACGGAAATACAAAAACACCCAAAATTACCCGTCCTGAAAAGGCCGGCTTGAAATTAGACCCTGATATCTGTGGAACCACACCATTTGCTTAAAATTTGTGCGATTTGCTAGGGTAATGCTGTTATTAAAATGGTGAAATGAATGTTTCCTCAATGCTATTCCTGGATTTTACGATTATGTCGGAGAATTTATTCAAATTATGCTAGTTTCAGCATTAAAATATTCTAGATATTTTGTTTTGTTACCAAAGACTTATTTTTACCTAAATTGGTATTTTACGGTAGATTTAAAATAGCTGAAATTGCTGCGAACCAATGTGTTCAGAATCCTTAATTGGTGCCTAGTTACTTTTTCTGGTTTAATAGGCGAATTTGTTATGAGTGAGAAAACTCCTTTACAGTAGTTCAGTAATGGGTATTTTCTTGAACAATTTTCGTCTGTTACTTGTGCGCATACACCTGTTGCATCAGAACCTTTTACAATGGATTTAAAAGACAGGCGTGTGCAAATCGTGATAGCACGTTGGACGTTGCAAGAAATACGATGTTCAGATAAGCACTCAAGTACCCCCTGAGAGCGCGTGTAGCTTGTAGTGAATCGTGTTGATTTACGTTAAACACCCAGTCGTCTCAGCCTCACACATGTCCCCTCTGTTCACAACCTGCCCGTCTGTCACGTGAGACCGCTGGTGCATCACCCCGCTGAATGTACCATCACCACCACCACTTCCAGCATTGGTCATGTGACCTCACAAGCGCCGGTGTTCATCTTTACATGTCACTCAATTGTACACGACAACTTGGTTGAGCGGTCTAGTAAACGGTTGTGCCTTCCCCACTCCGGTCTTCTATATTTGCGCGGGAACGCAGGGTAACGTATTCGGCCTAGATAATCGCATTGGCCCCGGCATGGTTCAAGACAACATGCCGGGGCCCTCAACAAGCTCCAGGGCAGCAATCGCCTCGGCTTCGTGGGGAAGCCAAGTGAAATTCGGTGATTCAATGCCCTGTAATTATGCTGGATCAAACCACTTTCAAACATTTCGCTCAAGGACCCCTAAATTTGCAACAAAAACAGAGAACATATTTACCCTCTGAGGTCCACCGGTAAATTTTTCGACCCAATCGCAACTTTACTTTGCGTCAAGCTTTTGGCCTCTTCACTGGAGCTAGAAACGCCCGATGTGGTTGAGTTGGCGTCCTTGCTGTGGGGGAAGTTGTGGCTGCCAGCACCAGGCGCTCTGAGCGCCTTGCCCAGCAGCGAAACTCGAGGAATTCGTCCAAATTTAACTGCCGACACGGAGGTGACATTGTTCACCAGGGGCGCTCGTGTCGGGTCCTGGTCTGATTCGCTCCGTCGCGGGCAGGGTTGGAAGTACCGCTGTTGTGACTGGGCCCGCACTCGTTGTGCGGTGGTGGTTTCCGAGGAATCGCGGTAGCACATGAAAGGGTGGTTTGTGTTGGTCTGAATGGGATCTGTTACGTGACTAGACTGCGGTTTCGGATCAGACGTTGGCTCCTGTTGAACAAGAGCTAGTTACAAAGTGGCTTTAAAAAGCACAAATTTTGCAATCTAAGGGCTAACATGATAATTGTAATTTTCAACAACTTTTTGCCGCCACATTCTGGCGCCTGTGCAAATTTAAGACCCTTTACTAAGAAGATGGTACTTTTATGTTGCCCCGGGCATCAAAAAAACTCAGGGTTTTAACTTGACATGAGAGTTGCAATCATGCATGTCGCCTCACTCCCGGGAATGCCTTACTCAGATCCCAGGTAGGGTAAGCGCAAGGGCCGCTTCGTTGAAGTTAGGTTATTCAAACATTCATAACGGTGACAATCTGTAGCCAAAATATGCCTACAGGTCTTGTTTAACTAAGCTACGTCCTGTCTAGCGTACTGATTTTTCTGCAGGTCAGTCGGGCGTAAAGAATATCGCAAAGAAAATGTGATATGCTTAAGCATAGGTTTTCCACGTACTTTGGGCATGAAATCGGGAGGCACGCTACCGCCGATATATCCGTAGGGATCCTTAATAAAGGCGTGGTAGTGACCCCCACAGGCCGCCGCGCCAACGTGGATGACAATGGAGAATAGGTCGTAGGTAACTGGCTGGACACAGGAAAAGTGGTTTTGAGTAGTAGGTTTTGTAATGGCAAACTTCTAATTCCACTAACATACTCACCAAGGTCATCTTTCCTGCCACGTAATTGGTCATGTCGAGGAGAATGGGGAAGCTGCACATCTTGTCAAGCTTGCACGATTCCATGGTTTTGGCATCGTAGTAGAAACGTGACAAGGAGAGAGTCAAAATAGGCGGTAATTCCGTGAACTTGCTCGTCTAAATATGGCAAAATATCCAAACCAGATGATACATTATTTGGACCATTCTGAAACTCAAAAAAACTGTTGCGTTTTAAAGCTAATCCATAAATTTTCATTTGATACTAAAGAACGTTGGAGTAGGTAGAGAGGTTAAACAAATCACCAGTGAAAGGTGATTTGTGCAAATAGGCCCCATGTCCGGTTGCCGATAGGCTGAATTGTGGGCTTGCTTTGATATCCCGTGAAGTCAAGAGCCGCCTATGACGTCCTCTTGGAACTGCGATTTACTGAGCAGGTTCACAAAGGTCACATGAAAACTTACGGATCATTGACTCAGGCAATATGAACTCATCTTGAGAGCTCTCCCCAGGATGAACTAATATGTAAGTCACTGTGCAAAAATCCGCTTTGACGAATCATTCCCAAACAATCAACCTACACTCAACGTATTTCCTCGAAATTCGCCTCTAAACTCTTCAAAGAATCTTCAATCGTAAACATCTTAAATATCCATTTATGGTTATGCCTTCCTCAAAACCTTGGACTTAGGCAACAGCAATAAGCTTGCCTTTGTCGCATCAACTCGGCATTTGCATTGTTCGCAGAAGTACTGGTTGTCTCCCGATAGTTTCTCGGTTTGTGTGTGATTATTCAGGGCTTCTTCAATTGAGTCGCAATCACTGACTGAGAGGTTGACGTCTTGAAACTCGTCCTAGACTTAATTAGCCAAATCCTGTTCAAATCACCCACCTACATTTCGCTCACTAACTCGACCGCAGGTAAGACACTTGATCTACAAAATTGGAGCATTATGATTGGATGCAATTACAAAATACTCACCCAGGTTCTCAAGACTCCCCTGTAAAGGTCACTTATCAAAGACTTCTCGGAGGTGTCTTTCAAATTATTCTCAAGTTGTTCAAACAGTAAACGATTCAGCTCTTGGATATCTTGATGAACCAACACCTAGGGGAATGTTGGGCCCTAGCGTAAATCATACCTCGTCTGAACTCCAACCAAAACTGTCTGTGAGCGGTTTCGCAGAAACTGGGTCACCATTTCCTTGCAAGAGATTTGAAAACAGAACTAATAGCTCCTGTACAATCTACAAAAAGTTAAGTCAAATCAAATTACCCGTTTAAGTTTAGTAATTTGGGTTTTTTTAGCCATTGTAAAAAGTCGATCTGGAAGGGCGAAAACCACAAGAATTAGTTAATGCGTTAATTAAAAATTAAATGCCATATTTGGACCAGTTAAATTTTTGAAAAATGTACAAATTATTATTCTGTTAATGCTTTACTAAAGTTTCAACAGGTGATTTTCCAGAATCTGAGAGATCTGAATTCAAGTTCTATTCTAATATCCAATAAACCTTTACGCGTTGTTTGATTTCTTTAAAATAAACCAATCAATAATCTATATCGTGATATTTAATCAATTTTATGGACAGGAGAATCCCGACTCACTCGTTAGGTCGGGCGTATGTAGTAACGTTTGCAAAAGTGTATTTAAGTAGCATGTTGCTCCCTGGTTAGCTATCCCACTTATTCGTTTGCGGGGCGTCTCTTTCCATAGTTTAATTGCCTTCACAATGTTGGCAATGTGACAGTCCTCGTCGCGCGAGTATTCTGCATTAATATGAGCCATGTTTGCTTATGTTAGCTCCAGAAAACCCCCAAGAGCATTCCTGTAAGGCAGTAGAGACTAAATCCTTCCTAATATAGATGATTTCTTATTTTTAGGTGGTTCGGTGTGCAAGACACTTTAAAAGGCCCATCGCCACATGGCATCTATCGACCCACCCATTATCGATTTCTTTCACGTGCTAAGCCTGCTTGTGCGAGGGCCACCCTGACTGCATCATGCTGTGCATCGGTCGCCTCGTTACTGGCCGAGTGCTGAAGTGGACTAGTTCCACTCATTCTACTACACTCATCCTTTAAATCATTTCTGAATTTTTAATTTTAACTTTAGCTAGTGCCGGTAATTACCGTCAGTGATTTGTTGGTACACCAACCTAACTGGCTTTATTCTGTCTGCACACACAATTTTGACCCGGTTTAACCCTTTTGTTCACGCCTTGACACTGGGTGTGTGTCCTGAAACTAACCTGTCACTTGACTAAGTAGCAGGGCAAAATATTGATTTAAATAACTTGTGATTTCCACAGAAAGCATTAAAAGACTGCGTCTCACTCCATTAGTCTTCTACTGCCCATGAAATCTTACAATGCCAAAAGTTGACTACGCTATCACAGTGGGTTGTGCAGCAAGACTATGATGCAAATTTTGTTGCGATTTGAATAGATGAGGCATCAGACAAGGAACTAGGTGTGTAGGGGCTTCGGATCAGGTTTTATTCGAGCACTGGTTTCGCCTAACTCAATGTTAAGAGTGCACACGAATTTCATCTATTTTGGCTCGACTGAGCTTGAATGATTTAATTCACAGATAATAAGCAAAATTATTTAGTGTTAGATCAGATTTCTAGGTTTGATGGAGTGGGTTAACGATTGTTGCTGTCATTGCAATGACCAGCAGATATTATTTGCTCAAAAGCTAAAGTTTCACTCGTGTCCATTGAAAAAAAATTGGCTTTTGACTAAAAATTTTATGATATCAAATGTAGAATAATATCGATTTGTGACAAAATTTGCAATGATAACGAGTCTAGGAGATATTTTGAGCTGAAAGAAGCTAACCTCAAAAGAAATCCTAACAAAAACAGCATTCACAATGCCAGGGCTAAATCAAAGCGACGTCAACTTGCACACTTAAAACAAGAGTCGACACTATTTTGTTAAGATAAATACAACCGAGAGCCGAAAACTTCCCCTGCCACGGTACCTGCTAAGCGGCACGCTGAGACCGGCGGTGATTTGGCGTGTCATGTCAGCTGTGCGATCAATAAGGATGGGGTGACAACACGTGCCATCACGTAGGTGGCTTGCTGCTGCAGGTGAATAAGATGCCACCCAAGTCACAGAAAGTGTATAGTAAACTAGAAAAACTCACCAAAAAAGATGCACGTCTCTTCGACAAGGAGATGGCACTGTACATGGCAAGGATTACGGACTTTCAGAACTTCGTGGACCGAGTCGATGACTGGTATAATAAAAACGAAAAGCGCTATCTAAAATTTATGGCGCTGTACGGAGAGGATATAATTTCTGAAACCGAATTTAAATTAGCATTCCGTAACTTGAGAACCCCCTTTTCCGAACTGGAACAGCATATAATCTGTCGAATGGTAGATCCAGAGAAAACTGGTCGAATTGAATTTTCAAAGCTATACGAAGGAATTTGGAAGGCCCTGGCTAACAAATACGTTCAAGACGACGATCCCAATGTTCTCGATTTAGAACGACCAGATCAGTGGTTTCTGGCCACCTTTAAGGTGCCCACCTACGAACCCCTGGATATGCCGACCACATTTGAAGCTTTAATCAGTCAGGAACACACTGGGTTCATGCTGCGGGAACTGATTCGCATGAAGGTTCCGCAACTTGCCACCAAAGCCATTGTTGTTTTCACAGAAGCCAGCAAATACGCTGAGACTTTGATTAGGTGTCAGCAAAAACTAGCAGAATTCAACTTCAGTGGCGGACCCAAATGTGCGCCGACTGAAATAAACCTGTATTACGACTACACTATGGGAAGAATAGACTGTCCAATGATTAAAAACCTCCTCTACTACGGACCCAATCAAAAGGCACAAGGTAGTGGCACCCAGCGCAATCAAAGTCCCACGGCCGAGTGAAATAAGCTTTGGGAATAAGAAAATGATGATTTTTTGTGAATAAAATATAAATTTCATTTGGAAGGAGTCCTTAAGAGATCAATTAACTCCTGGCTACTGACGTCATGCTGCTTTGCTTTAAAATTACCCAACGGTGACTAACAAGTAGGATGGAAGTAGACCTCGTACCGCCTTACATCAGTGCAGTATGGAGGTAAGCGTCAATTGAAACCAATGTACATATTTAATTTAAAAGACATTTTTTGTCTTTAAAACAATCGTTGTGCTCGTTTCCTTAAGCAAAAACCATGCTTCGAATGATGATCTGACATTTGAGTTGAAGTAAAACCCAAAAATTCATTACGGGGGATTTCAATTTTGAAGCACAAACAGTTTAATTGAAACATTCTAACTTGTAAATAGGAGAATTTATCCGGGCCACTTCCCTATACCTAGGTAAGATTGGCCAAGTGACATTTTTTCGTTGAAATTGACCTGTTAAGTCAACAAACAAATGAAAAGGAAGCAGAACAGTTAGTGTGCAGTCCAACTTCAGCACATTGTACTTATGAAAAATTGCTATTTGGACCAAAAGTGACGTGTGACTGGTACATCCAAAACCATAATCAGTGGCTGTGTGCCTAACGTCTCACACCACAAAAACAATAGGAATCTAAATTGGCAGCTTAACGTTCAACTAAAATTGTGATTTTGTCACTACTTGATTCCGAATTCTAATTTTGGAACAGCTAAATTGGGCTTAGTTGACAGCTGACCCCACAACACGAAATTTTATGTTGCTTACATTGTTAGTTCCGTGATCAAATCAAAAAACAATCGATTATAAAGAAATTGAGGTGTACCCGAGTTTACTCACGGGTTTAGTGACTAACTAGCTTAAGCAGCAGTTTGTCCCTAATTCCTCACTAAGCCACCGATTTACAATAATGGAAAAATTGTGGGCTAGTAGAGACAATCCAGCATTTGCACAGTTAATTTCCACCATATGTCTCTCTTTCTACTAAGAGCAATAGAGTGCTAAAACACAGTTTCAGCGAGACCCATTTTTTACAAGACTTAGGCTACAGTGGATAAATTAATTCGGCTGGCAGACTAATTAGCGATTCTACAAAAGCTCTCAAGCATATAATTTACTTAAACTATCATTAAGCCTTAAGTTCCATATTCGACTTAGACCTAAATATTGAAATTTGGATTTTTGTCTTGCTGAAATTTAAAATCGGGTGCTAAATGAATAAACATCTGAGTTTTTAATCCATGGACTATAGATTTTAAATTGTGGCAAGCAATCATAAAAGTGACAATGTTTAACACTAAAAATCAGCAAAGGTTGCAGCATTACTGGGTTACCAAAATAAACTCACGGTGTCATTGAAGGAGATATAATTAATGCTGTACTAACATTATCTTTGAAAATATTTGCGGTTATAAATCGACGCAGAAGTGCAACCGCTTTATAAAATGTGCTGAGGACATTTGAATTAATGTCAGAGATTGTAAGCAAAAGAACATTTTGTCTTGCTATTCATTGCAATGCCCATTGCTACTTCTTATTATTGAATGAGTACCCGAAAAGGATGAAGTCAGCTGAATAGAACTAACTAACTGTATCTACTAGAATTATTTGTCAGACCACTAATTTTGAACTATTTTCACAACCACTATGTAAATTGGGACAATGACTACAGAGTGACGTGTCACAGTGTACCTAAGTAATTTCGCATCCATGTATGACGCGTTCAAGTGCGGTGAGTTGCGTCTAAAAATAAAAAGCTTAGAGGAGAAATGCTTACATAATTGAACATTAAAGGCTGTATTTGTAAACTGTTGACCATAGCCACACTTCGACAGCATAGGGGTCTGAAATGACAAGAATGTTTGAGTTCTGAAATGCATGGGGAAAAATCTAAATTTGTTATCTAAGATATTCTAGGAAACCTCAAAACCATATTTGCAAGTTATTTACTAAGTAGCACAAAAGATAACTGCTCTATTAGACAACCAGTATTCATTTTAGGCTTTTTAAAAAAATGAATTGCCACAAAAATGAATAACTTTTGAAGGCTACAGATTCAAGACGGCGTTACAAAATACGATGAGAAACAAGCTATTATGCTTAAAGTAACTGTAAATTGAAGCTGCACAAAAAATACCTAATTAATGAAATGATAAATAACATTGTATATCGTTGGTCTATTTAACAGAACATTTAATTTTGTCGTCTATTTGACCACCATTTATTGCAGTAATTTTCGTCGTCCTGGTCTTCTCTTTGTTCAATCGTATTACCATGTCATCTTGCTCTTCTATCTTAACACCTTGCAGCCTTTTTTCAGTCCTATGGATCACCAAGTTATTTCTCAATAGCTCTGCTGTGTGGCCATCAAATTCCCCTACATGTCCCTAAACTTGAGACAATGACCAAAAGTCAAAGATGATAGCTTGGAAATTACTTACTGATAGCCGATCAGTAAATACCTTCTCTAAGAACATTTACCTAGCACATTGCTATAAAAGTAATGCTGATACAATTTTTTTGTGGAAATGGTTTTGGGACAAAGAAATGTCTAATTCACGACCCAGGATTATGCAAACTAAAGCTACAACTCCTAGATTTTCTGCAGAAAAATAGAAGCATGATATTGCAATTATGTTTTTCTTGGTATATTGGTCTCTGAAACTAGCCATATCCACCAGCAACATGGTTTACTCAAAATGGGATTTGTCGAATTGTTTAAGATAGTTTCGTCTTCCGCACGTTTTCGAAATTTTGCTCTGTCATTTGTCGTTGGCGTCGTGATGTATTTGACAAAAACTGAGTATGACAGGGGTGTCAACACATTTTCTCCAGATGGCAGGCTTTTTCAAGTAGAATATGCTATTGAAGCTACTAAGGTAACGTCGTATAATCGCTACTCACTATCAATTAGCTGGGGTCTACTGGTATTGGTATCAAAACACAGTCAGGTGTTGTATTAGCAGTTGAGAAGCGAATCAATTCGTCTCTTATCGTGGCGAACAGTGTAGAGAAAATTTTTAAGGTTTCTGACAAGATAGGTATGTCTTTTTGGCTCCTGCATAGCTTTGTTTGTGCTTATGTAAACCCGTCTCTCACACCTAACGCGAAAAGGTCAATGTCATTTATTAAAGAAGTGTAAAATATTAGCTTTAAGTGGTTATTGACTGTGAAAGTTCTGTTTGTGGTGATAGTTTAGCTTTGCACATCTGTTGTATTTCAGGCCTACAATTTTTTGCGATCTTCACCTTCTGGTGGGAGGTTTGACAAAATGTAGCATTCATTTTTTACTTGTAAAAGTCTCGCAATTGTTCAAACAAAGTGACCAAACGATGAACTTGGTCATTTGTTCAAATCTACTGTACGATTTTGCGCTGAGAGTTTTCCTTTGTTTAATATTTCCCCGCAATAATCTAATTGCTTTTGGGAACATGCTTTTAACTTGGCGTTTTTGTGTCATTACTCGTTGTCAACCTCCAAGTCCTATAATTTGGATTTTTGGTATGTTAGCTGCGTGACAACCAGGATTCATGGTGCTTTTATCTGCAATCCTTTTCACGAATATCTAGTTTGAAAGACTGGTAGCTTTGCAATGTGCCGTGTGTGCGTTGGACTATTTTTTAGTTGCAGGCTTAAGCTGTGTTGCAATCAGAATCATAACTCATTTACCACATTTTTATCGTAAACTATCCACTAACATATATGTTTATATTAATTGCTTATTCATTTTGGCAATCGCTTTAAGCTTGCGCAGTCAGTGGTCTTGTGGCAGATGCCAGAACCCTCATTGATCGTGCTCGCGTTGAGGCTTCTCATCACTGGTTCGTTTACAACAATGAAATGACTACCGAAGACGTAACTCAAGCTGTTAGCAATCTCGCTCTTGCGTTTGGTGATGACGATGCTGAAGCAGGAGCAATGAGTCGTCCCTTCGGCGTAGCTCTTATGTTCGCTGGTTTTGACGAAAATGGTCCTCAACTGTGAGTGATGTTTTACCCTCCCTATCTTGACTAAGCCATGCTAGAATTCTATCGTGGTACAGAAACTCAATCAAAGCATAGATATCTCCTTTTAATTCCAGTGTAATTTTGTTTTCGCAACTTGGCCTCCTATCTAAACTTATAACCTGTGTAAGCTTGTTTAAATTCCGGTTGATTGTTTTGTGACCTAATGCCGCAGTTTCTCTATTGAAGGTGTTCGTTCTTATTTACGCCGATCCCCTCAGATATCAGAAATGGAAGCTGTTGTGGTTTTTAAGACATTGTGTAGTTAAGTATCGACAAATAAACCGTAAGAGGACACAAGCTGCATCATTTCAAAATGTTTACATGAGTATGACGTTGCAGTAGTAGTCATGCTCATCAGACTTCTAGTCACAGACGTAAACATTACCTTCGTCAAATATTTTTTTACAGTCGTTTCACATTTCTAAAACTCCTTCCCTTCATTATTGGCATAACTTCTAAAGGTTCCATATGGACCCCAGTGGTACTTACATCCAGTACGAGGCCAAAGCGATTGGCTCAGGGTCCGAAGGTGCACAGCAAGCTCTGCAAGAAGTCTTCAACAGGGACATGAGCCTAGAGGATGCCAGCGTTCAGGCCCTGACCATTCTTAGACAGGTGATGGAGGAAAAATTGGATTCCACAAATGTTGAGGTTGGTCTAGTTCCATTGATTCACTGTGGTACTGTTTTTATTCCCTACTTAGTAAGCACCATAAAGGTAGGCGACAGCCATCTTAGGCCTCTCTCAAAGGAATGATCACGAAAAAATGGCATCCAGTCTAGGATCGATTGGCACGTCAGTCACTTTCTTACACTACCTCCCGACTCGGGTGTGAAAAGCTCTAAATGGGGCTCATTAAAAGCTGCTGCCCGCGCGGTTTTGAATCCAGCTTCTCGTCCACAGAGGTGTTGCGTTGGGCAAGCACTCAGTAACTCACAGCGTTAGATTTTACTAGACGAGCATCTGCATTTGAAATTAATGTCACCAACTCTAGGCTAACAAATCCGTCTTGGTACGTTTTGCTGTATTGCGCCACAATGACTGCCATTTGAAGGGTCGCGGACAGCAAAATTCTCACATTCACATGCTTTGTTTTAGATGGCGTGCGTGACCGAAGACGGCATCAAATTTTTCGACAAGGAGCAACTAGAGACGGTGATCAAGCAGTTGAAATCGGTTGTATAAAATAACGGCCTACAAATCACAGTAAAGACCTTTCCACAAAGATTGCCACTTTTTGACAGTAAAAGCAATAAAAGAAAACAAATATTAGGTGTATAATCTGAGTACCAAAAGAAGTTACTCAAACAACTGAATGGGTGCAGTGTGCGTGTATCTTGCGCAGGCAACAAACCAGAGGCCTAATGCTCATCTCTAGTGAGAAAATAAGATTGAAAATCTCGGTGTCCGCGATTAAGGAGTGAGCTTGAGTGTGCTTAAAATTACTGACGTGGACATATTCAATCAATTCTTGGAGCAGCAAATCTGTACATGGCCGGGTGATGGAATGAAAGACGAGTTCCCGTTATCCTAAGTCTCACTACTGGCAAATATTACAAATCGTGCTGGCTCTCGAAAATCGGATTCGGGTGCGAAGGCATCGCCGAAGCTGGTGGCGACTGTAGCACTGTTCCAGGAGTGACAGACCCAGCCACGGCAGAGCTACTGTTGTGTCGGGGAAAGGTAACCGCAACCGACCGTCTCACGGCCAAGTCTTTCAAACCGATCCCGCCGAAGTTGCGCATACTCCGGTAGCGGATTGTGCTGGCTCCCGGTATAGGCATGCCAGGCACGTTGGATTTACCAGTGGGGGCAGGTGACTGAAGTGCGTCTGTCGCCAGCGAGAGGTTTGTCTCCTGCTTGAGCTGGTTGATGCACGAGATCCAGGCCTTGCGGTCTGCGGGGGTTGGCGCACGAATAATCCACTGTTTCACGGTATTCGGACACACGACAAACTTTTCGTGGTTCTCTACGTGTGTCCGGTGAATGCGCATTCGGCAGCGGATACACTCAAGAGCTGGTGGGGGAGCACGAAGATCAGAACAGGAACGCCGACAGACCTCGCATATGGCATTCATGATGCGGAAGGTCATCGGTTGGAAGGCGTGGCCGTGCCACGATATGAGGTTACTGTTGCCGGATATGACACTTGCGTTGCCGCCTGGAATGCCGCTTAGCAGGCTTGCGCGGTCCGGGTCGCGGACAGAAGTAACATTACTACTGGCGTCTGGGGTGATCTCGTCGGAAATTATGCAAATTAGGCGGGAAACATCCTCTTCAGTGGCGTAATTAAGATCAAGTACGGTGCCAGGGCGAACGGAAAATATCTAATGTAAAAGGCAAGATAACACTCAGGTAAATTTTTGGTAGTCACTCGCCTACACACCTGTACACGTCGACTAACACAGGCGGATCAGTGTAAACCGCCGACTCGCAGTTAGTGGTTTTAGAGTCGTGCTTAACAAAGTAGTAAGTTGACCGAAATGCAGGTGCCGCAGCACAACTCGAATATAGAAAAACCGGTTTGTTAATGGCAAATTAGTTCTAAGAATCTACCCTGTCAGAATGGCGTTGAATACTTGCTACTCAAAGAATCTCAGTACACAAATGATTACCTTGTGGATTGGTATTTCTTCACACGGCACCGAGCCGAGCTGGTCCCGTTGTTCCTTAGATGGGAAGAATGACACCGAGAATGGGCATATAACCACAAACTTGGGTATCCACGCCAACTTCTTCTTGCCCTTGATCTTTGCTGGGAAGTCGCAGACGTCTTCAATGGGCGGGGGCAATTGCCGACTGATCGACTGGCTACCACCGATGCTTTGAAGGCTCTCCATAGAGAGACTAAACTCGCCCCTGTTGTTTGGTGGTGAGGGCTCCGTTAGTGTTCCCGTGGGGGATGATTTGCTGGAGAAGTCGCCGCCCGAGTTCTGCTGGCGCGTCGCAACTGGCCCTCCGCCACCAGTCTTGATGTCGTAGCAATCGTACAGCGCGTTCATCTGCTCGTTGGCCTTATCCAACTCCTTCTCCAGCATTCGGTTAGCCTCAGTTAGCTCCGCCATTGCTCTAGCCTTCTCCTCGTTGTCGGTCTTAAGTCGGTTCAATGTGGATTGCAGTTCGGAGACCTCCTTCTGGTGCTTGTGTTCCGAGTTCTTCAGCTGTTTTTCCAGACTAGCCAACTTGGCTGCTTCAGTGCTCTTCTTCTTCTTACTGCTTACTGGGGCCACCGAAGCGACCTCGTACAGTTTCGCGACTGTCTGTTCAATCTTCATCTTCTGGATCTCGTTCTCCTTGCGCAGATACTGCAACTGATTTGTGAGATTGGAGACATTTTCCTCCAGTGTCTTGCAATGCTGCATCAAGTCATCCCGCTGCTCCGTCATTGTTCTTATTGTCCCGGCCTGACTGGCTACACGGTCTTTCAAGCGGGCAAGCTGCGTGGAAGCGTCTTTTATTTCCGTGTCGTATGTCTTCCTCATTCCCTCCAGCTCGAATTTCGACACAGCGAGATCTGACTCCAGGCTGAAGACCTTCTCCTTCAGCTCCTTGCGAGTCGACTGGCTGGAGTGCAAGTTGGCGCGAAGACCCTCCAACTCGGCGGTCAGCGAGTCGATGGTCTTGCGAGCGGTCGAGGCAACCTCCTCCGCCTCCTCCAGTTGTGACTTGTAGAGCTGTGAGAATGTCTTGGCTGCTTGGAGCTGGTCCGAGAGTTCGCCCATCTCCTCGGCATGAAGCCGACGTGTGGTAATCAGCTCCGCCTCGGCTCTGCACGCCTGCTGTCGTGCGTCCTCCAAGTTAGCCTCAAGCGATGGATTGTCTGCGAGTGAGCTGCGTTGTTTAGCGCTGCTGGTGACCTGAGCGGGCACTGGTGGTACGGGTGGAGGAGCGGCTTTAACACTGGCCAGTTCTTCCTTAATTGAGGTTAGGGCTTTGCGCTCTGCTTCCAGATCTTCAGTTGCCGTCATAAGCTCGGCCTGGAGTCGATTAACCCGGTCATTGAGGGTGTCGCGTTCTGACTGGAGTACACCAACCTGAGTCTTTGTCTCCTCTCCCAGTCGTTCGAGTTCTAACTTCGTTGCCTCTAGTTCAGATTTCACATCATCCAACCGTCGTTGGGCCTCTTTTGCAGCAATCTTATCCATCGCTGCCTGCTTCTCAGCTGCGCTCAACTGAACTCGCACCTCAGAGAGTGCAGCCTCGACCTCGGCTGTGTTGGCATCACCGTTGGTGATGGGCGCATTTCTGCTCAACGACTCAATTCGCTGTCTTTCATCGCGATTGAATGTGAAGCCAGCGAAAGCTAGGTTATCGCCCGTAAAGTAAGCCGGAGGTCCAACGGGCTTTTTGGAGGAAAATGCGCCCGCAATACGTGGCAGGTTAGCCGGAGACGAGCCGGAAGAATTCGAGGAATCCCCACCGAGCTTGCCATCAGCACCAAGGAGTTCTGATTCATCGAAATTTATGTTCGAGGTATCCACGTCCGAGGTGACAACCGGGTTAATTGGGGGCACAGCGGAACGCAATCCAAGCCAATTGATGCCCTCGAAAAAGGGGTGCTTCTTCACTTCACTTGCCCCATCCTTCGCGCCCAAGCGAACATCAGCGCTACGAAGAAAGTCACGAATTAGCGATTCGAAATTTGGTGTGACTTCCGTGTCGGTGGGAATCTTGAGGGATTTCTCGTGGCCGAGGATACGCGAGTAGGTTTCCACAAGTGATTGTCCATAAAACGCTGTCTCACCGAAGAGCATTTCGAAGGCGATCACACCGAGCGCCCACCAATCGCAAGCCGGGCCGATGTAGCCTGCTTTGGACTGGCAGTTGAGCATCTCAGGGCTAATGTAGTCGGGCGTGCCGATTGGCGAGGTGCAGAAGTAGCGGCCGTCCGCATCCACGCGGACGCAGGAACCGAAGTCGGCCAGCTTCAGGTGACCCCTCGCGTCTAGCAGCATGTTGTCCGGTTTGAGGTCGCGATGGATGTAGCCGAGGTCGTGGAGAGCCTCGAGAGCGAGGACCGTCTCCGCAAGGTAGAAGCGGGCCTGTTCTTCTGTGAAGGTGTCGTAGTACTCCAGCCAGTAGTATAAATCACCACCGGGCATGTACTCCATACACAAGTAAATATTTTCCTTGTCCTAATTAAAGAATAACAAAAAAACATTTAGGCAAAACCACCTAATTAACAAAGACTGTTATAGTAAGTACTCGAGAATTTAAACAAAGGTTCCTGTAAAAATGAACCAGATCTTTAATTACGCAGCATACTACTTGTGATTAACTGAAGAGAATCAATAAACCATGGAAATCCACAGTAGGAATCAGTACCAAAATATTCAAAAGAGTTGAAAGATTCCTACACTCCAAATCGCAACACGATTATCAGCAGGTTTTTGCCGAGCGCCTGTCAGCACAGGACTCGCTAAACCGCTTACCATCAGCACGAAATTCTGTTAACCGTGAAATTAGATATGCAAGAGGGATCGACACGTTGCCAGCTCATTTGTAATGCCAAAACAAAGTTGGAATAAAATAAGCCACACACCGAGTGAAATGAAATCATCAGGAAAAGATGAGAATCTCAGATCTGTGGAATTTGAAGTTTTTTGACGAAACGTTTAATGGGTTGAAGAGGCGAGAGACAAAGTTGGGTAAAAAAAAGGGGACCGATCTAACTGCGCTTCTCCAGGGAAGTCGTTGTTATTTAAGCCGAGGCTCGTAATTTCCAATCACTGTCATCAGCTAGGCCAAATGCGTGGCTTGGATGCCTGCGTATACTTCACATAACTCTCAAACGATTTACCAAACACACAAACAGCTCAATCATTCAAATAGTGTGCTAAACAGGCTTTCCAACATCCTGTCTGTTCGAATTTAGGCATTTTTAGAACACGTTTGACCTTTTCACAGCTAATATGATGATTCCTGTTCTTTTTTTGTATATAATCCTAGTTCTAACCGCCGTTTGTTTGAGTATCGAAATTTGTTTCAATTTTCGACAGCTACACTTTCAACTGTATCCTTTCAGGCGGTACCTTTAACTATTAATTCGCAACTATAAATCTCGAAGTAACGGTGACTTGTTATTTTTTTATAACAACAAAGTAGCCCAGCGATCCAGAGCCACGCACAAATGTGTTCTCTTGACTTATGGGAGACGACACAATTGGCAGAACAGGAGTGTGCACTGACCAATGCATTTTCCCACCAAATCCACCTCAATTTATCAAACGCTCTCGGTGACTGAAGGCGAAAATTTAATTCCCGTACCGCCACATCAGCAACTGCATGTGATATTCCAAGTTGCCTGTTGAAAGTAAAAATTAGTCAGCGAAAAAGTTAATTAGAGCACGACCAAACTAGGATTAACCCGCTGCTGAAGCTTCAACTTGTGCAAAGGAGTTTTGTGGAAGGACAGCGGGAAGTGCAAGTACATAGCTGCGCATTAAATTAGGCGACAAACAATCCGCACAATCGTGCTTTGTAGTCTAGCCTCTGAGTTACCCTGTCCGAAATTTGAAGTTACAGTCAGATGGTTTGAGTTATCAGGCAGAGACGTGCTAATACTACCAGCGCCGATTGATAAATCGGGTGAAATAAGAGTACAGACACCAGACGATGGATTAGCCACGATAGAACCTGTAAAGGTTGTGGTTAAATATTCGAAAGGGTAACCAAAAACGATGCATTCAACCGCCGGATAAGCTCAAATGGACGGAAATTAAAACAGAGCCTTCTAAATTGTAAACGCCCGGGTCAGTCAGATGCTCACAAGGACACTAACAATAGTGTTACATTTAAATGTGTTTTCAGAATCTGTTGGGATTAAGACGAAGAGAGATGCGGCTAGACTTCGGGCACAAGTTGAAGCACTTTTGCATAAAAAGTTGGGCACGGTTTGTTCGTGACAACAGACTCCCTATGAAGACCGAAGCTGAGTCCACAACAAGCATTACGTGTCCAATCCACTGACAACGTCTAAAACGACTCTATCAAGGTAGACGCAGTGAGAATGAGGAAGTGTACGAATCTCCCAAAGAAAACAAATTGGCCACAACATACATACACTCGCAACATTTATGTGATTTTTATATACACGGTCAAGGTCACCTGTTCAGGGCGAATTTTACACAAACTTTCGATAACTGAAAGAGGTTCTTTAGTGGGCTGGGGGAGGGCGGTGGTTGCGGTAAAGACTCCTTAAGATGGTCAACAAACATGAATGTCAAGAGTTGGAGAACGCCTCGATCGCGAGGCGTAATCCCGCCAAATCAGTCAGACTTAATACATTGATGCTGTGTTTTGTTGCTTTTAACTCCCAGTCACACAGAAACGGGTAAAAAATCTAATAAGCGAGATGTTAAAACTGAAGAAAGTGGAGTTAAGCACTCGCAGATCAAGGCTACATGGGTGCGTGGGCGGGCACGACCACATTCCCACAAATCATACCACAGGGGTGACTAAGCGCATGTCAGAAATTTAACCGTGAGAACATGCGCTTCCCAGGACGCGGTTGTGAAGACTGCAAGAGGCTCCCGCACTTTGACTAACCCGCGTCACCGATGCGCCTCATAGCTAAACCTCAGCATCCATGAGCCCAATGGAACCGACTAAAAGAAGTCGTGAAGGTCCCAAAAGCAGACAGCACAATGAGCACTAGTGGTGCGACAAGACTACACACACAGCATGATATTCCAATGAACAGTGAACATTTGACAGCCATCAGTTCAAACAGGTACGCGTATCACGTCGTCGTTTGGATTGAAGTACAGAAAATCGACAAGTATCCGGCATTGTCGGCATACGACGGTCGCCGTTACATCGAGTAACAAAGTTCGTTGGTCGGTGTGAGTTGCGTTAATTTATGACCACCAACTCCGCCTACTTATTGATCACATTGCGCTCTTTCAACACACATCAGCGCATTTTACCCAACACAAACTCCCTGTCCGTCATGAGACAGCAGACATCGCTTCCCTCATATACGTTAGCAACTAATGGGCAATAAAGAAAGATGAGGCAGGTGGTTAAAAAGGAATTCGTGTGGTTGGATGTACCGGTTCTACTTTTTGACCATTCAATCAGGTCTTTATGGGGAATGTGTTTACTCGACTTCAGCGAATTCGCATTCACATGCTCTCGGGTTTTTATTGCACCAAAGAACCCAACCAATGAATAAATCGTAAAAGGGCACAAGGTCGCGCAAAAAGCCTTCACCTTTTAATGGCAACTGGGCAGATCGCAATTCGAAGTGACCCACTTGAAGGAGAGAGGAACGCAAACACCACAAAGGCAAAGCAGCACCAGAAAATTAACGCGTGAAGGCTTACACACGGGGACATTTGTCCCTCTGGATGTAAATTTAGATCGACGCACGATAAAAGACGCTCCAGTGGTTTGGAAAATACGGAAAAGACAGGATGACTGAAGAAATGGAAAACACTGCGTGTTTGTAGCACAAGTTGGAGTTAAAAGGCGCACGTCAAAGGGCACCTGAGCTAAACTAGACGCTCGAATGCAAATTTAATGGCGGCTACGTTGCGTAGGGTAGACTGACTGTTGAAATTATCAACCAATAATCGCCTCACGGATTTGAACGACTTACACGAAGCACTTGTCGATTCTGGAGACAACGAAGTGCAGGAATCCGGGGAGTCGAAAGTGTGAAATTGGAAGAAAAATCCTATGAATACCGTCAATCCGAAGCTAGTGGATCCGCGTTCTCAATGATGTAGGATGTCAAAAGCCAGAAGTTACCAGAAGAGTTAAAAATTGGGAAAAAAGAGCGAAAAACGATGATGATGATGGTGGTGGTTTCAGTGAAAAAAACCAGGCAGCTCAAGTCTGCTTATCGCCGCACCACCACCGTTGTGAAGAGCGCACATGGGCACATACGAGTTATAAAGTTAGTCAAAATGCCAACCGCCTCAACATCAGCCAAGTCATTTTCAATACGTGCACACCTTTCACGAAGGATGCAAATCAAAGATAACTGTTAAAAGAAGAGACCCAAGTGCTACATGTTCGGACGAACTTTACGAACTTAAGGAGGCGTCACATACTGAGCAGATTTAATTCCAAAATGAGAAAGAGGCGTTTGGAATGATTGAAGATGCAATGAAAATCTGGTACTGTCAGTACCACGAGAGCATAAAAACCGATAACCAAATGCAACACACTAGGACAAAAGAACTGACGATATTAAACGTAAACTATCAAACAGCACATGTCCCAATGGTGGTTCGGTTGCAAATGGAATTTTCGGAGGACGCGACACCAAACGTACGTGCAAGGCACAACAAGCACGGTCAATGGATTATTGTTAGAATTAGTTGCTGCCTTAAAATCCAGCATTTGGAAAATTATGATTTATTGCGTAACCCGGCGCAAAGTAAGAAACACCAAAAAAGAAACGTAAGTCGTGCATTTTGATTACGCACATTAACGACTGTCATGCCGGCTACTGTACGGATGACACATTCTAACGAGGGGAAATCACAGTCGACTTGGAGTAGGCACGGTTTAAATTGAAATAATACTTAAAAACAATAACAGGAAACAATATAATTGGGTTTACATGGTGTTAGCCGAAAATCAGATCTCCTACTGAGTGGACTTAAAAAAATCGATGTGGTTGGCACGTACAACGAGAAGTGCTGACACGCAGATAACCACACCAGAAGTGGGCTACCACATCGTGTTAGAATGCGCACGAGCTACGGTCACGTTCGTGACGGTAACTAGTTGTTAAGACGACAAACTGTAAACACCAAACGAACACAAAGCTTTGAGAGACTACTTAACGGAAGTGCAGAAATTGAGAGAACGAGTCCGGCAGCCGAGGCAACGATGAGATTTCAACAACAGGCCAGCAGCCCGTCAGGAAACCGTGGGGTGATTTGCAAAGTCCATCGGCTTAGCAAATTGAGTGCAAACAACTAGGCATTGTTGGCACACAACGAGCCAACTGAGCGCACAAATATGACGCGCATCAACAAGGCAAAAAAGGAGCACGTAGATAAACAGTGTGGCGCAAACAGGTCGACAGTGTTAAAAGGCATCAATCTAGAGGGTTTGGGAGTGCCGATTCGGCACTAGAACAGGG